CTTTAAGTGTATATATTTGTCTATACACTTAAAGTGTACTAAGTATATTTTTACGTTGTTACATTTTAGTATTTAAAAGTATACTTAATACACTTAAAATTGTGCTTTTGTACAACTTAAATACAACTAAAGTATATTTAGTATTAAATTAGTTGTTCCAAAATAGCACTCTTTAAGTATACTAATGATTAGTGCGGCTTCAAGTATACTAAAGTATACTTAGATTTAGTATACTTAATACAATATTTTTTTCACCTGGGTTGTGACAGCAGGTAAGTAAAAAAAACAAAACAATAAATAGATACCTCCTCGAACAAATCCATTGGTAGCTATAGCAGAGGTGGAGAGGCCAGTGATGGTCGTCACAATGGTGGCCATGCAGACAATCACACAGGCAAGAACTGAAAATTAAACAAACGTCTTCAATGAGAAAAATATAACAGGACAAAGTCGTCACCATCAGTCTGAGGGACGTGTGAAGATTAAAACACAGCCATGAAGGCAAACCCCTGTAATTACATGTGTTACATGACACTTTGTGGCGACATTTCACATCAAAGGAGAGACTCACTGGCTGCTGGGTGGTGCAGGTTATTGACTGTTTAACGTAAACCTGTCAGTAAATATCAGCCGTGTGCTTCTGCTTGTTCATTTGAGTGCCGACATAAGAATTTGTCAAGTATCTGCAGGCTGCCCATTTTCTAACTATGGTGATAAGGGAGAATCAAAACAAGATAATTTAATTATTTTTAGCTTTTAGAAACAGTTTGGCCAATTTTAGCTTCCGTTCTGCTTGTTTTAACTTTAGAAATATATCCTTAAGCAAATATTCTTGACCTTTCACACTGCATTTTTGTAGAAAGTGCAGTTTTTCTAGTTTTAATTCTTTTTTGTCTACATACATGTACACACGAGTTTGTACTTCTATCATTAGTCATTTCTATAATCTAACCCTGCCTCTTACTCTGAATCTAACCTAAACTTAATTCATTCATACCTAAGTCTTAAACCTAACCCCCTCCATCAAAAATGGAGTTAGACCACATTAGGACCAGTCTTTGGACCACACAAGGACTGCTAGTCCTGACAAGCTAGGTGTGTATAATAGAAACTGTCCTAAAAAGATAACAAAAAGAAGTACACACACATATTTTGATTTATTGTTGTGTGTGCAGAAAGCTTTTAAACAGTGGATGGTTTTATATCTGAGTGCTTTCAGCCAGTCCCAACAGTCACATTAGGGAAATGAGGAAGCTGTAAAACAAAGGCCAAGCTCTTCAGCAGTACCTGATCTTAGAACTGATAAGACAAAGGCTGAAAACAGGAGTTCATTTTCCTGCTGCAGACGAGATGATTGCACTTTTTCTTAATAATTCAGTTCTGATTTAGAACTGAAAATAAAGAGAGATCTCTTAGAAGTTTATTTATAAATGTCTTACTTTTATTTTCAACTTTTTTTTTCTCAGCATATACTCAACATGAGAGTAAAGAAAGCAGGCAGAGAAATTACAAGGGTTCTGTTCAAAACTCGAAAAAAGAATAACCATAATAAGAGTTTTGACCTCTGCACATATTTAACAAGTTAATATAAAAAGTATTCAAATTTTATAGTAATTGTTTTTGTTGATCTGAAAAACTGTCTGAATATTTGATTTATACTTACCAATTCCAGCCTGGCCAACAATCCATGTCATACGGATAAAGAGCATCACTCCCCAGATGTTCAACATGCAGCGGACCTGCAAAGAGAAGAATTTGTTTCAGTGAGAAGCTGAGATGGTTCTGCGGTTGGGAAAAACAAATAAGTAAAAAAATTAACAACTAGTGACTGCCAAAACTGCAAAACAACCTTGGCATTTTAAAATCCACCACCTTGTCTGGACACAGTTAGAAAAATGATCAACTAACTACACCTGATAAAAGCAAATAAGAAAAATAAACTTTCAAAATTTATAAGTTCAAAAAACAAACATTGACCTTTTTTACGCAAAGCTGTAAAATAATGTAGGCATACTGAGGACTGACTGTAATAAGGCCAACAAATACAGGAAAAATCTGAGTTCACCTGATTAAATGAAACTGTAATGCTTTTTTAGAGAAAAACAGGTAATTAACTTTATTTTCAATGGTGGGAAATTTATAAGTAGGGATGCACAATATATCAGCATTCATATCAGTATTGGCCGATATTGGTCATTTTTTTTAGAATATCGGTATCGGTCCGATATGTAAAACTGGGCAGATATTAACATCTGATATTGATTTCCCACTTTTATCTTTTTGTTTCTGTTTTGGGAGGGGAGATGGTTGGTTGAGCAGCATCTGTTTGATCATAATAGTGATACTGATGCTGTGTAACCAGGAATAACTGAAGTAGAGCCATGTCAGAGGTCTGGTAGTTTATTTACGGTATCAAAAAAAGATCCAAGTGTTTGTGTGTATATGTATAATATAATTTGTCTGTTTGTGTAATATTGGTAAATATCAGTTATCAGCCATAACAGCAATAATTATATCGGATATCGGCTGAAATTTTCATATCCGGTGCATCCCTAGTTATAACTGAAGATATAACAAGAAATTGTGTTTGAGGATACTTGAAAAGTAAGAAATTTTAATGAAACCATTAAGACAGGAGATACTCGTATAAAAAAAATCTGTATTTTTAGAAGTGACTCACCAGCACCCCCTTAATCCAGCCAAATTTGACCACTCCTTTGGGCTCGGCAGCTTCTTTTGCAGCAGCCTCCTCAGCCGGTGTCAGCTCATCTCCGTTAGCAAAGCCATCCTCAAACGGCTCCTGAGAAACACAAGTGAGTTACTTTTACACAAAGAGCAGAAACTAAGAAGATGTAAGTTATTTTTTATTCATATAGATAGGACACAAACTATTCCTACTAAAATACAGTTACAGGAAAGAGATGTTGGAATTGGTCCAAAAAATAGCCTATTTGCTTAGGGACAGAGCACGTAATTAAAGACAACTCCTCAGGGTTTACAGCCAACAAACAGATGGTGTGTGACTCATAGAAAATATCATCTTTCACATGAACAATGCTTTAGGTCCTGAAGAGCTGTGGTAAATGTGGCCGTTTAAAAAGCAGTTCATTCATAGTCACTGCATTTGTTTCTCCACACAAGGAGATGAAATAAAGGCCAGAATAATATCTTATTACCAACAAGAGATACATTTTCACACAGAACAATAGAGTGACATATTTACAGCAGACAACCTCTGCCTAATTTGACTCAACAGTTTCAAATAACAGCACCAAGTAAACTGTAAGCTCCCTGAAAAGTAGTTCTAAACATGGAAACAATCCGGTGTAGCCACACACGAGCAGGATGAAAACCTTCCCATAGAAACAGTCTGTCCTCAAAGGCATTTATGACGCAGCTGAACTCGGCTGTAAACAGTAAAAGTAGGCGCGTAAAGAAAAAACAGACAATCCTTTTTCTGACTTTTTTTTTAAAAGGTACAATAATTTGTACTGGCCAGTTGGTAGAGCTGAGGCCTCTCAGAAAGAAGGCCGCCGGATCAAATCTCGGCCTTGGGACCTTTCTGGGTAGTAGGGATGCACGATATATTGGCATTGACATCAGTTTCGGCCGATATTGGTCATTTTTTTAGAATATTGGTATCGGCCCGATATGTAAAACGGGGCTGATATTAACGTCCGATTTTGATTTTCCAATTTTTAGCTTTGTGTTTCTGTTTTGGGAGGAAAAATGTTTGGCTGAGTGACATCTCTTTGATCGTCATAGTGATTTTTACGCTGCGTAGCCAGGAATAACTGAAGTAGAGCCATGTCAGAGGTCTGGTCGTTTATTTACGGTATCGAAAAAAGACAAGTGTGTGTTTGTGCGTACATGTATATAAATAATTTGAGTGTTTGTGTAATATCGGTAAATATCAGTTATCGGCCATAACACCAATAATAATATCCGATATCGATATCGGCTGAAATTTTCATATCAGTGCATCCCTACTGGGTAGAGTTTGCATGTTCTCTCCATGTACCCCGGCTTCCTCCCACAGACCAAAAGCATGACCATTAGGTTAATTGGTAACTCTAAACTGACTCTAGGTGTGGATAAGAGTGAATGGTTGTTGAGACCCTGAAAGGAAGAAGCGGGTATAGATGATGGATGGATGGATAATGTGCATTTTTTAAGCTGTAAACTTCATAACTGAAAATTGTACCATTGTATATATTCAAGCAAAATACATCAAGTAATTGATTGGGCAGTAAATAATATTTTGGTAAAAATACTATATATCATTCTTAATTTCTTAATTAAACTGGGGCTTTATAATGTATGTGAACCGTGGTTTGATTTATTTTCTTCAAATGATCAATTTCCATTAATGAAAAAGAGCCTATCTTTATTCTCAAATATTTGATGACTAAACAGAAGCAGCTGCACAAACAAACACAGGAAATTAACAACACTGACTTTATTGGACCATTACCCGACTGAACAAGAAGTAATCAAGACTACTGCCTCTGACAAGTTTAATGGTACTTCTAAATGTTTTTACCATTCAACAATTATTTAAAAGTATTATTTAAACTTGTGAGAGCCTACATGAATCAGAACTGGTTCTGTCTAAGCGGTTTATTGGAGTTTCTGTTACCACATGTGTATTTCTTGAACTGAGCCTCATGGAGTATGAGGTTAGTAATAAAGATAATTACATTTGCTTCAAGGGTAACTCTTTTTGGAAACATCTGGACAAAAGGCGATGCTACTGATGTAATTATGTAAAATCAAGATTAATGTCTGTTTCTCCTATGCTCCATTAGGGACTGTGTGTACACAAAAGGAAATCTATTTCAGGAGTTTACAGAAGCCTGTTTCCATCTTTTTATGACATTACTGACAGAGTTGAGCTCTGCTCCACATCCATACTGACCAGAATCATTTTTGCGTCGGGTTTCAGAACATTTCATTCAGTTCGTTACCGGGACACTGTGCACAATACAACTTAAAGAGGCATGGACTAAACTCGATTTCCAGTTTGAATCACTGGTTAAAACTAACCACATGTCAAATGCTGATTAGGTGACTGAAAGATTGCTATTAGACATGTTTCCTTCTTTTGATTGCGCTGCATTAATGCTAATTAGAGGCATTCGGAGTGCAAACCTTCGCCAAGACCAATTTCCCCCATCCTGCAATGGACTATTTCGTGGATACCGCCATCTTTGCCTAACACAAAGCATCATGGTCCAGTTTGGGGGCATCCGGTGCTGGTATGTGAATTAAATGACTGTGAAAATGGATTGTGGAGATCGCTGCGTGGTGTTTTACTTGTGTATATGTGCAACAATGATCACAGATACATGAAAATAAGTTTAAATATATAGAATAATGAAAACACAAGATTGTCGCTACTCGGTCTATAGATCTTGCACTAAATATGTTGACGTAGGTTACATCGATCTGGGCTGCGTATAATATTTCCTGACTACAGATCATTTTAACCACTTAATCTCTATATGGTTTATTTATTAACAATAATATAAGCTTGACAATTGTTCATTTCTTATTGTTAAACATGTCAGTGATGTAACAAAATATTTAAAACTTGAAATATGACTGTTTTTCAAAAGTCCTGAAGCCAAAATGTTGCCGCAAAAAAACAATCACCCATTTATCGTTGTAAATTATTATTGATATTAAGTGATTAGAACTGTGTGCAGCAGTAGCAGATGATCTGAGTCCTGAGTTCTCAGTTTGAAACCTTCTGGAGATCTGACTCTTGGTGTGACAGATTGTGAATGGTTGTATGTTTTGTGTCCCTGATGGAGACTGGAGACCTGTCCAGGATCGAAAAAAATAATCGGTGATTAGTCGACTATAAAAATAATCATTTGTGGCAGCCCTATAACCAACGTGCAGATCTTCATCAGGATCAAATAAAGAAGTAAACATGTTATTCAACTTCACACACGTTCTGCTGGCTATAATCATGAATTATTCATTCTCTCTGAAAGATCACAACTGATGAAACACGCCTCATTAAAAACACAAGGATCCTGTTTCAGTGAGGAGGGAAGGTCTAGTTTCCCCATTCTACTGCATAACAGAAAAAACAAAGTTCACTACAAGGACAGCTACAGTACACTTATTTTTATCAAATAATATGTGATCAAAAACTTTTATTTTAGGTCATTAAGTACTGCTGTTTCAGAATTTCAAACATGAACTGAGGTACAGGGACTTCTGAAAAATGAACACTTTGGACTCCAATAACGAATGGTGAAGTTTTTAAAAACATTTAGTTTGATCAGTTAGCATTTAAACTTTATGTTGAGGATGACTCTGCAAACACCAGATTTAGTTCTAAAATCTAAAATAAAATATCTCAGAAATTGACGGTGTTACACATTTCTCTATTGAGGTTGCTTATCTGTGGCATGCAGTGATCTTAAATGTTCTTTAATCCAAATTGTAACTCTGCATTCAATTATTATTTTGTGAATTTCAATAAAATTTGTTCAGTGGCTCATGAGATTTTTTGCAAACATGTCAAACACAAGAACAAGCAAAAACCATTTATCACCCTTTCACCTTCCGCAAAAGATAATAATGATCCAAGATAGTTCATAAAATCTTTTAAGAAAGTAGATATGAGGCTTTGTTTTTTATAGTATCTAAATTTTAGCTGTCCTTATCAGTCGTCTCATGCAGCCGCTCCACAAGCATGTGGATTTGCACACACATTGGGCCTCATGCAAGAACCGTTCGTATGCACAGATTTGTTCTTGAGTTGTGTGTACGAGTGATTTAGGAGAATTTGTGGAATTCACCAATGTTTTCATATTCTAAGATTTTTTTCAGATACGAACAAAATTCACGAGTGGTCCAGACCTGTCGTATATTTTACGAGCAGTCAGTCTGCTGTTATCCAGACGGATTTTCCTCACTAATAACTTTATATTTCATTAGTTTGAAGATATTTCGTGTTGAAAATAAATCACACTCCATAATTATGTTGACAGTAGGTTATTCTGTTTGAACTGGAATTAGATTTTAACAACATAAATTGATTAGATTAAGTTAAACTGTCTTTTAATGCTGCTGTATAACACTACAATATTAATATGAAGATCTCAAACTCAAAAACAACTTAAATTATGCATTAATTGAAGTTTGGAAACGTTTTAAAATGCCTCTTTTCAGAACCGCATCTGTTGCTTGCGACCGCAGGGAGGGGGGAGACAGCCAGGCTGGGGGGGGGTAGCGGTGCGCAACCACCCTTCTTCTGAATAAATGTAAACACAGTAACACAGTTGCTTACACTTAAATTAAAAATATTTGACCAAAGAAAACCCGGAGCTAGACTAGAGAGAGATGAATATGATTTATATTTTTATTTCTGTGACTGTAACGACCCACAGGAGACACGACATTAACAGCACATTTCATTCCTTTAAGCAGCTCCTTTAATTCCACGACACTGCTAAAGAGAACAATTTTTTTTCTCGATCTCTGAGAGCAGGACTACAATCTCTGAACTCCTAAAGTTCTTTTTTACTTTGCGATGTCGTTTATGAATGGACACTTCCTGGTATGTGGGGCAGGAAACATAGCCTTATATGGTGTTTTTGGGGTGGTAATTATTTAAATAACCTCTCCTCGTGCACAAGCAGATGAATACGAACAGGTGGAATTTATGCAGCTCATTTACACACTTTTCCTGAAGATAGAAGAGTTTGTTGAATCTGATGTGACATGTTCGTACGAACCCTTTGTACGAACAAAAGTAAGATAGGATAAGAATACGAACAT